ATGTTGGCACTCTCGCGGCACTCCCCTCCCTAGACGGTGGCACTCTCTCCTCCCGCTCAAATTGTCTCCGATTCCTCTGCCAGAAAGCACTTGCTGAGAGAAAATGACAAGCCCGTAGAATACATTTTCTCTCTCCCTCTCCCTCCTCCCCCCCTTATCTCTTCCATTTCATTCCCTTTCTCTCTCTCGCTCTTTTCTTTCTGTCTTCATTTCTCTTTCTTTGTATCTCTGTCTATCGCTATCTCTCTTTCTTTCTCCCTCTCTTCATCTATTTGTCTATCTTTTTTTATCTCTCACTCCATTCCGGTATCTCACCTCTCACTCTGTTTCTTCTCCTCTCTCCCTTCCCCCCTTATCGTTATCCCTCTTTCTCCTCTCTCCTTTTCTCTCCTTCCCTCTCATTGTCTCCCTTCCACCCTCCTTTCCCTTTCCCCCCACTCCTCCCCCATACTTACCTTTCCCCCCCACCCCGCCATCACTCTGTGTTCATTGTTTTTTGACTACGACTTAGGCAGGATTAAAGTTTTGAAAGTTTTTTCTTTCTCTTCTCTCTCTTTCTCTCTCTATCAGTCTATCTATCCATCTATCTATTCATCAATCTATCTACTTATCCCAATCCACTTCGACTTCCTCCCTCCCGCCCTTACCGAGGAGTGAAATAAACTAAAACTTCCCCTTCTGCAGGAGTTGGCAGAGTCCCACCCTCGCCATAAATTGCGGGCGTGCGTGTGCGTTCGAGGACTAAGCGCCGAGTCTAAGCTCCACCAACCCGACGAAGCCCAAGCCAGAGCCAGGAGGCGGGTCGGAGGAAAGGGACGCGGTGCCAGCTGGCGAACGTAAACAGAGCGAGTACAAGGGGGCGAGAGAGAGAGAGAGGGAGAGAGGGAGAGAGAGAGGGACTTCGAGACCACAAAATGGGACCGTTTATGAAGCAGGTGAGAGAGAGGTGGAGAGAGAGAGAGAGAGAGAGAGATGAGAGAAAACACGTGGCGGGAACCATAAACTCCAGATTAGAAAAGGGGAAAAGGGGATACGAAGATCGGGAAAAAAACAACAACAAGAGCAAAGGGACGAGCGACCAACCTGAGTGACGAGAGGAAGCAAAGACTTCTCGAGCGACCTGGTCTTCACCTGTGGATCCAAAGTGTTCACCATACGCGCCGGGGCAGCCATGTTGGCCTCACACCCTCACAAGCGCCACTGAGCTTCGTCGCCGCCGCCCGTGCCCGTGCCAGCACACCCACACGCACACATACACACACACACACGTAGGGTCAGTTACGCACATGAACCTTGCTCACATAACGCGCGTAGTAGCTTGTCGGTCGTGACAGACGGTTAGGGAAATATGCATGGCGGGTGTGGAGCCAAAGGTGCGTGTGCGCGCTCGGGGGTGTGCTCATGTAGGTGTACAGAGGCGCACACGCATACATACATTCAAACATGGATGTACAGATGCAGACATACAGACGTACAGATACAGACACAGGTTTAGACACAAGCACAGATACAGACATACTCAACAACACGTACAGACATACACTCTGTTTAACACTCACAAGCAGAAAAAGCAAGCAAGTAAACGAGCACATACACAAACACACACACACACACACACACACACACACACACACACACACACAACACACACAACACACACACACACACAAACAAAACACACACAAACACACACTAACCCTCCCAACCACAAACGCACATAAACACGCACACATCCCCCCCCCCCGTCCCCCCACCCCAATCATACACACAAACAACTACAAACACTCAAGCAAATTCACAACCTACAAAACAGCTGACTCACGATACCACACAACCTCAACCATCAATGGAAAAAAAAAAGAAATATTATTTTCCTTCTCGACGGAAACGCTGTTGATAAATATAATGTAAAGGAAGGTTTCTCACATTTGATAGCTCTGGGGAGGGGGGGGGGGAGGAGGAGGTGTGGGAGGGGAAGGGAGATGAAGGGAGGAGGGGGAGGGGAGGAGGGAGAGGAGGGTGAGGGGGAGGGAGAGAGGAGGAAAGGGAAGGGGAGAGGGGAGGGAGAGGGGAGTAAGGAGAGGGAAGTAAAAATAAGAGGTAAATGCAGGTCAGGAGGGAGTGAAGAGGGAGAGGGGGGAGGGGCGGGGTGGGGAGGGGGAGAGGGAAAGGGGAAAAGAATGGAGATGAAGGCAGTAGGGGAGAATGAGAAGGAGGAAGAGGGAGAAGGATGGGCGGAGGGAGAAGGAAAGAAGAAGACGAAAAAGAAGAAGCGAAAGAGAGAGAGAGAGAGAGAGAGAGAGAGAGAGAGAGAGAGAGAGAGAGAGAGAGAGAGAGAGAGAGAGAGAGAGAGAGAGAGAGAGAGAGAGAGAGAGAGAGAGAGAGAGAGAGAGAGAGAGAGAGAGAGAGAGAGAGAGAGAGAGAGATAGAAAGAAAGAAAAGAAAAAGAAAGAAAGAAAGAAAGAAAAGAGAAAAACAGATCTAAAGAGATACATACAAACAAAAACCAAAACAAAACCAATACAAAACAAACAAAACAAACGAACAGTGACACACAAACATGAAAACAAACAAGAAAAATTGCAAAGAAAGAGGCAGAGAGGAGATGCCGTGAACTGAAGTGTTTGTAAATGACATGTCTTGTTCACCTTTTGTTCATCTCGGCGATTGGGGGGAGGGGGGGGGGGCATCTGACCCCATTGCGTGTGGAAGGCGCGTGTGTGTGACTTTCATGTCTGTCTGTCCATCTATTTATCTGTATAGCTATGTATCTGTGTATCTATATGTCTACATATCTTTATATCTTGATATCTACGTATAGATGTATATCTTTATTTGTATCCATCTATCTATCTATCTATATATGTGCATATATATATAATATATATATATATATATATATATATATATATATTATATATATATATATATATATATATGTATATGTATATATATATATAATATATATATATATATATATATATATATATATATATATATATATATATATACATGCATATGTATATGTATATATGTATATGTGCATCTAACTATCTATCTATCAATCTATTTATATATGTAATTGGATATATATATATATATATATATATATATATATATATGCATGCATACATAAAATACATATATATATATATATATATATATATATAATATAATAATATACTATATATATATAATATATATATAGGATCACCGATGCAGCCAAACTATTCACAAGAAGAATTACATAAAAATCCCCTTTCTCAAAAGCACAGGCGACGTCCGGAAGCACAACCTCCTGTGCGAATATTATTTTCTTTACCTTTATTACCTTTCCACAACCTCCTGTACGAAGGAAATAAAGGTAAAGAAAATAATATTAGTTATCCTTATTAACAAATCAATAGGTGTAACTAGTGCAATAATTAAAAAAATTCCTGGTTTCGGATCCTGGCCTGGATCGTCACACAAATTTAATGGCAAATTTAATGGCATATAATTTAGGCTTAATAATAAAGACATCCAAACGAAAAGAAATAGGAGAGATAGAAACGTTAATTAACTTTAATTAATTTCTCGCGTGTGACTCAGCGGCGAGCGAGAACAGACGACGAAGCAAGACATAAGGACAGCTTTGTCTGGCGCGGGCGACCAGGCGTGTGCGTGTATGTGTGTAGAGTTAGAGTGAGTGTGAGTTTGATTGAGTGTGAGTGAGTGAGCGTGAGTGCGACTGAGTGTGAGTTTGATTGAGTGTGAGTGGGTGAGTGAGTATGAGTTTGATTGAGTTAGAGTGAGTGTGAGTTTGATTGAGTGTGAGTGAGTGAGTGTGAGTGTGATTGAGTGTGAGTTTGAATGAGTGTGAGTTTGATTGAGTGAGTGAGTGTGAGTTTGATTGAGTGTGAGTGAGTGAGTGTGAGTGTGATTGTGTGTGAGTTTGATGAGAGAGTGAGTGAGTGTGAGTTTGATTGAGTGTGAGTGAGTGAGCGTGAGTGCGACTGAGTGTGAGTTTGATTGAGTGTGAGTGAGTGAGTGAGTGTGACTGTGACTGTGTGTTTGAGTGAATGGGTGAGTATGTGCTTTTGATTGAATGTCGTTGTGAATGTAAGTGTATGTGTATCTTATAGAATGTGGGTGAGCGAATGTTTGTGTGTGCGTGGTAAGTGAAGTAATCATTGTGTCTACAAGTAAATCAACTTGTTTATTGTAAGGAGAGAGGATAAAATATATATTTAGTGAATGGATAATTGTACTGTTAATAAATTCCATGGTACTATACAATGTGGACTAATGATTTTATACATGAAGACTGAGGACTAAGTAATTCGATTCCAAACTTATAGTTAGATATCTAATTTCTTAGAGAAGTATTATACACGACACTGTCATATCCAGTCTTGATATTTTCTCGTAGACTATTATATTTATGCAAGAACACAAACGCACATATACACACACAAACACGCAAACACACACACACACACACACACAACACACACACACACACACACACACACACACACACACACACACACACACACACACACACACACACACACGCACGCACGCACACACACACACACACACACACACACACCGCACGCACGCACACACACACACACACACACACACACACACACACACACACACACACACACACACACACACACACACACACACAGATATATATATATATATATATATATATATATATATATATATATATATATATATATATATATATATGATTTCAATTTCATTAGAGAAACACCATGCCATCGTGTAATTCTAAAGTTCCACTTTAATAATATGTTGAGTTTGAGCAAATCAAAAGCAAGTTTGAATTCTATTTATAGTACTGACTGGGTAAGACCTTATTTTGGTACCTAATGGATATGTGTTGTTTTCAAATTTCTTATAATTATCTATATAATTTTCTATGAATTCTTATTGTTTGTGTATTTAGCTCACTGGGTGTGTAAGATTTTTAATGTGGATGACAGTGATGACAATGAAAAAGATAATTTCACAGTAAATTTTCCTTGGTCAGATGAAAGTCACTGACAAATATATCGGTAGCTATTATTGTGTTTGATAATTTCAACAAATTATGGTGCATATGACAAAGGAAGAATTAATGTAGTAGTAATATTGATAAGAACAATGGAAGAAACTTATAATCAATTGTGTTATTACCTCAGAGTACTGTTTTTTTTATTAATATTTTTACCTGGACAATTTTCCTCTCTCTCTCTCTTTGTCCTCCTTCTCTCCCTTCCTCCCTTCATGTCGACCTGTTTATTTATTGTATCGATTAGCGTTATTCTATTTTCTATTGAGTCACCATTTTTTTTAGCATAACATTTCTGAAAATAACACAATTTCAATATCTTATTTTTTTCTTCGATTACAATTTTCACTTCCATTCTCCAGCCATTCGACGTAGGATAAACAATAAAAAAGGTTCTTTGTTATACATATATTAATATACCTTGTTACATGTTACCTTGGGTCATTACATCACAATATTATTGCAACTTAACACGAAATTGTTGACATAAACTTAAAGAGAAAATAAAATATATATATAGTGAAAAAGGAAGATCACAGTTATGGAAAGATGGATCTCTTAAGTAAACAAGAACACTATCGTTTTAAGTTCCATTAGTAAAATGTTTTCAAAAATGTTATTATTAGTTTAATGATTATTTTAACGGAGAGGAGTTATTGAAATTTAGAAAAAAAATCATATAGAGAGCTTATCAATGTTTGTTGATATAAATTTCATCTTGTTTATAGTTAGGAACAAAAAGGGTTAAAAAAATGTGGTGTAGTCATAATGGCAGAAAAAAGGAAGAAAAATAAATGTTCTTAAAAAAAATCTTGCTGTCCGGATACGAATCAGTTCGGTTAGAGTTCACGTTCACTACAGGTGTTCTTCATGGTTGACAGACAGCTATTTTGTGAGCACAGATGCATGGTTGTCTCTGCACTCAAGAATGACACTTATTACTCAAGAATGGCAAGATAGAGGTGTTATGCAGCTGTTCTTCTTGGCTTATTTACAAGACACATGTGTTTCGCAGGATCCCCCCCTCCCCCCTCCCATGTCCATCCATGGCTCAAGATTATATGCTGACAAAATCTCGAATCCAAAGCAATATTATAACCCGATTTAAATGCATGTTCATTATTTAATTTAATGTACACTATATAAAAAAAGAAAAAAATGAGAACAAAAAAGGTATATAGATAATAATGACGCAAATAAAAACAATCATAAAGAAACATTTTTATCAAGGTGTTCAGCACAGTGTTCTCTGCAGACTCCGGAACACACAAGGGAGACAGTCCAGTCAATCTCCGACGCATTTCTTCTCGAATTCGGACGTCCCGCAGGTGCCAGACGCCCTCTGGAGTTACTGTAGGAAGCAGGAAGCGCAGCAGACGGTTCGGTAGTAGGAGTAGCGGCAGAGGCGGGCCTGCTGGACCAGCTTGCAGTTCATGAAGCGGTCGACGCAGTTCCGTTCTGCCAGGGAGGGAATTGCTCATGTTGTTTACTGAATATTTTGCATATTTTGAATGTTATTATATATATATATATATATATATATATATATATATATATATATATATATATACACACACACACACACACACACACACACACACACACACACACACATATATATATATATATATATATATATATATATATATATATAATATATATATATATATATATATATATATATATATATTATATATATATGTGTGTGTGTGTGTGTGTGTGTGGTGTGTGTGTGTGTGTGTGTGTGTGTGTGTGTATATATGTATATATATGCATATATATATATATATATATATATATGTATATATATATATATATATATATATATATATATATATATATAATGTATTTTTTTTGTTTTAATACTTTTGGCAATTTAGTCTATGCTGTTTGTTATTAGCATTTTTTTAAAAATCTGCCTTTCCAGGAAAATATGTCGACAAAATTCATTATGTATTTCATATAATTTGATTACATATCAGATATTAATCTTGATAATTATTCTGTTATTGATGGTGAACTTGGAACAAACAAAATGAATAAAGATGACATATTAGGGAAAAATAAGTAAAATCAGAATAAGCTGATGAAGAGACGATAAAGAAGTAATAGGGAAAAATCAATGCAAATCTTTAACCTAATTCCTAATCTCTCGAAATGAGTGATCGGATTACCTGTATACTTAGTTCCCGAGGGCCCAACACACGGCGGCCCGTTGCAAGTGCGAGTGATTTGCGGCTTCTGTGAAATTATGCAGCGAGTGGAGGGTCTCTGGTCCTGGTCGAGACACTGCACGGCTCTTGTCCTGGCTCCTCGACCACACGTCCGCGAACACTGCGGTCACAAGAGGGAAAAAAAAGAATTTCAGAAGATGAAATGGAAAAGGATGGAGTGGTAGTATGTGCCGAGGACGCTTATTGTTCTTTTTATGTTGAGAGAAAATCGGGTAAGTAAAGGTGTGTCCATCGCGTATATTAAGCTAGTTATACATAAAATTCCGTTTTCTTCGAAGTGCAAGATCACTTATAGAAAATGATTTATAATCGGGGTAACCCAAACAATCCCAGCTATCACGTGAATCCAGTAGAGGAATGTGTCCAATAACATTCCCATTATAAAACTGCAACACCCCAACCCAAATAAGAAACGATAACCAAAATAATAGAAGAAAAAGACGGAGAAACAACCACATACCTGAGACCAATCGGTGTAATACCAATGCGGAGGACACACATCAGGGTTGCAAGGTTGAGTGCTGTTCGGCCGAGAGTCAGGGTTGCACTCGATGTCCAGCGTCGCCCTGAAGGTCCCGCTGAGGAACACGACGCACACGACCTCTCGCGTGGTCGTTCCGTTCCCGCATTCCTTGGAACACTGGGGATGATTCAGAATGCTGAGCGGTTCCAAGTGGAAAGGGGGTATAGGGTGATTTTTATTTATATATCAATTTACTTATTCATTATATATAATGAATGGATAGTATATGGATGTTTAAACGAGCAAATACTTTTATAAAATGGTAGCAAATGAAATAGGAAAAAATAAAGAAAACTAGTCACCTAATGAAATATACAAATAACACACGAGTACAGATACTGAATGAAGTTCAAGAATAAAAATCAAGTGGTATGCAGCTAAGAAATTGAATGAAATCCACACAAAAACAAATTAGAAAGATGACGAACCAAATAAACAAACACATAAATCTACAAGCTAAAACAATAACGAAAACGACAATCAAGCAAATACAAGAACAACAACAAAAAGAAAAAGAAACAAATAACAAAAAAGAAGATAAACAAACAACCATCTCAACCCTCTCCTCCACCCTCCCCTTCCCCCTCCCTCCTCCCCTTACTTCTCCCCCTCCCCCTCCCCCTCTCCCTCCTCCCCTCCCTCCTTACCGGCGTCCAGGGCCCCGTGAACCAGGCGGCGGCGCAGGCGTCGGCGCGCGCGCGCAGGGCCTGCTCTCGGGCGGCCGCTGCGTCTCGTCGCACTCGCCCTCCACGGAGTTGACGCCCGGAGAGCACCACACGCGGCGGGTCTGGATGCCGTCCTCGCAGCCGCCCGTGCACTGTGGGGGGACGCGTGAGGAATGGGTGTGTGGATTTGGGCGCCCGTGCACTGTGGGGAACGCGTGAGGAATGGGTGTGTGGATTTGGGCGCCCGTGCACTGTGGGGGAACGCGTGAGGAATGGGTGTGTGGATTTGGGCGCCCGTGCACTGTGGGGGAACGCGTGAGGAATGGGTGTGTGGATTTTGGGCGCCCGTGCACTGTGGGGGGACGGGTGAGGAATGGGTGTGTGGGTTTGGGCGCCCGTGCACTGTGGGGGGACGGGTGAGGAATGGGTGTGTGGGTTTGGGCGCCCGTGCACTGTGGGGGGACGGGTGAGGAATGGGTGTGTGGGTTTGGGCGCCCGTGCACTGTGGGGGGACGGGGTGAGGAATGGGTGTGTGGGTTTGGGCGCCCGTGCACTGTGGGGGGACGGGTGAGGAATGGGTGTGTGGGTTTGGGCGCCCGTGCACTGTGGGGGGACGGGTGAGGAATGGGTATGTGGATTCGGGCTTTGGGTGAAGCGTCGGATTTTGGTGTGTGTGGATTTGGGTTTGGATGAAGTTTTGGTGTATGCGAATGGATGAATGGAAGCCGGTAGATGAATATGTATAGAGAGATACGTATGCAAACGAGCAGATACATACACAGGCTAACACTCAGACACACCTACACAAAAGTACATAGATTTATGCATATATACATATATGCCCATATCCTTTCAGCTTTGTCGATATGCACTCACTTACCCATTCATCCACCAACCTAACCTATCCAACCCACCCACCCACTCCCCCATCCACCAATCTAACACACCCAACCTATCCAAACACCCACCCACCCCATCCATCCACCCACTTACCCACTCACCCATCCTATCCACCCACTTACCCACTCACCTATCCACCCACCCTATTCAGCCACCCACCCATCCTATTCATCTACCCACTTAACCCACCATCCACCCACTTACCCACTCTATCCATCCACCCACTTACTCACCCACTTCCCATCCACCACTCCCCATCCACCCACTTACCGGATGTTTCGCAGCCATCCTATCCACCACTCACCCACTTACCCACTCACCCATCCACCCACTTACCAGCACTCACCCATTCCACCCACTCCCCACCACCCACCACCCACTTACCCACCCCCACCTATCCACCCACTTATCAATCCACCCACCCTATCCTCCACCCATCCACCACCCACCCACACCCCAATCCACCCACTCACCCACTCCCAAAACCCAACCCACCTACCCCACCCCAACCCACCTCCTCCGACCAATCCGTGTAGAACCAGGTGTGGTGGGCGCAGGTATGCCCGTGACACAGCTCCTGCTTGGGCGGCTTCTCCTGGACGTTGCACTG